ATTTTTATTTCAAATGTATGAAGAAATGCATTTTATTTGCAGTGAAACTGTGGCACCCAATCATTTTGGGCCCTCTCAGTAATATACATTTATGTTTTAGTTTATTGAATTGTCTGTGTATTTCTAGGTGTAGTGAAAGTTGAGTGGCTTTGTAAAAATGGCAAAGGGTGATCCAGGAAAGCCCAAGGGCAAGATGTCCTCCTATGCTTATTTTGTGAAGACGTGTCGTGAAGAGCACAACAAGAAGAACCCTGGTGTCACGGTTAACTTCTCAGAATTTTCCAAGAAGTGCTCTGAAAGATGGAAAGCAAGTAGAATATAAAGATAATAGAATATAAAGTCAATGAAACCGAATTTAAAAAGTCTGCAGGTAGCAGCTTAAAGAAACTGTCATTTGTTTCAGACTATGTCACCAAAAGAGAAGACTAAATTTGATGACTTGGCCAAGCAGGACAAAGTCCGTTATGACCAGGAAATGATGAACTTCAATCCAGGAAAGAAAGGTCAGAAGCAGAAGAAGGACCCTAATGCTCCAAGGCGGCCACCGTATGTGCTTTCCTTTTACATGACTTATTTCTAGAGCTTATTTCCGTGATTCTGGATGGAATCTGCCCTTATTTGGTTTAGTTACTTAAATGGTTGTCTTTTTTTCCTTTTCCCAGGTCTGGATTTTTCCTGTTCTGTGCAGAAGAAAGGCCCAGCATAAAGGCTCAGAACCCCGGTCTGGGCATTGGAGATATAGCCAAGAAGCTGGGAGAGATGTGGAACAATCTGTCTGATTCTGAGAAGCAGCCCTTCCTGTCCAAGGCCAACAAACTGAAGGACAAGTATCAGAAGGTGGAGCATGACCTCTCTCAAAATGCTGTTCATTATTCAGTGTGGATAGTGTTGAACAAATGAGCGATTGATTTCTGAAGGGTCCTGCGGCACTGGAGAAATGGCTGCTGAAAATTCTGCTTTGCCATCACAGGAATAAATTGCATTTTAAAATGCATTCAAATAGAAACCATTTTAAATCGTTGTAATACTTTACAATATTACTGGTTTACTGTATTGTTTATTCAGTGCAGCCTTGATTAGCGTAAGAGTTGTGTTATAGTGTTTTGTTTTCTCAGGACATGGCTGACTACAGAGGAAAGGGGAAAGGAAGCGGAGGGGCATCATCTGCCAAATCCAAACCCAAGGATGACGATGATGATGATGACGACGATGAGGAGGAGGATGAAGAAGAGGAAGATGAGGATGACTAAAGAACTCGTTTGTCCTAATTGGGCAGCAAGTTATTTGTTCGCTGCCAATTAGTATCAGTTAAGTCTGGGTCTAAGAGGTCTTGATGTCAAGGCTGCTATAAACTGATCACCAGTAGAGATGCCCAATGCATGCAAGCTCTGACTTTAGACAACCAAACTTTCTCAGTGCTGGGTTTGCTGGTGGTCCAGTTACAGCTTGCTATTAAACTGCATTGGCAAAAACAAAATATTTCCACACCGTTCAACAATAAACAAAGTGGTAGCAGTACATACTCTTTTAAAACTATTTAAGGTGGTGTGTTTCTGTGTGGCTGTTGACGTAGTTATTTTTTATTTTTTTTTTCTACTCTTCCCAGCTTTCAAAATGCACAATTTGTTGCTATATTTAAAGTTCAGTTTCGTTCGGCCCCATAAGCTTCCTGCATTGTTGAAAGGATGTTTGTGAATTGTGGTTATATTATTATTTGTGTAATTTTGACTGATTACATTGATAATTTTATGTGTGGAGAGTCTAGGGACATTTTCAGCTTTAACCAGAGGCAAGTGATGAAATGTTAAGCTGGGGAAAGCTCTTATTTGCACCTTCAGTTTTTTTTTTTTTTTTTATGTCTAGGTGACACTGTGATTTGAAATAAACATGGCATTTTTAGATCTCAAATGATTCAAGCGACTTTCTTATCTGCAAAATGTAGTGTGTAAATACTTGGGGTATTTGTCAATGTTATCAATAAAAGGATAAATGGTTATAGTTTCTTTTAAGAGTGCTCATTTAATTTGGATTTGTTGTCATTCTCTCCAATTAATCATAACTCTGATAATGCATTGACTGGGGTGAGCCACTAGATGTCAATGGAGGGCATCTATTGCACAAACTGTTTTAAAGGCAGAGTAAGGGATTTCTGGTAGTCAATGTTTATATTTGAAATCACCAAAACAAACACGGCCCTACCCCAAAAGGGTCTTGCCCCTATTTTGATAGCTCTGCCCCACATATACGTACGCAACCCAGGCAACGATTAGTTCTGTGAAACAAAGCAAAACCAATGTTACACCGTGTCTACGGACGTGAGCGGCGCGGCGCAACAAATCCCGACAGAAAACTGCTGCCGGGTTCTATTTATGACGTGCTGACACAAATTTCAAATGGTTTTCAACGGTCGTTTGATCGCGTTCAGTGGAGGCAGGCTTTAGCTGTTGTAGACACGGTGTTACTCACCTACTGAGAAGAAACATATCAACCTCGGCGTCGATCGCAGGCCTTCCGCTCCTTGAGTTCTCTCCAGCGCTGGAAAGCTGATCTGATATTTACACGGGTCCTACTTCTTGCCTTATCGTTCCGCAGACGTTTTCCTCTTTTGTTTTTTATCCGCCATCTCTATCTTTCTGTCGCTCGGCTCGGCTAATGTCCGTCCCATGCACTGAACGCGCTCTCCTCCACATCACGAGTAGACACGCCCCTTATTGCTGATTGGCTACAAGTTTGTTTTGCGATTCGGCCCGAATCAGTTTTCTAAAGTGTTTTTGAAAAATCACTTACTCTGCCTTTAAGTGAATTAAATGCAATATTTGTCAAATACACAGTCATTTTTCAGAAACGTTTTCATGAGCAACAGAAACACTTTTTATATACTGCTTAATACAGCGCCATCTGTTCAAAAATAAAGTTCAATATAAACATATACTATTTAAATACCAATAAAGTGGGGGTAAATATGCTTTTATCAGTATTTTTTTTATAAACGTGACTTAATATAACATTGCGACTACAGTAAAAAGCTTTTACTGTTATGAAACACAGTGAGCATTATTGGAATTGAAGATGTTAAAATAAACCCGAAACACACGTCATCATTGTCATCACAGAATCTGACCAATGAGAATAAAGCGTGTTGTCGTCAAGACTCTCGCAGTCGATTTTGAGCAACTGCAGCGCCTGACCTAGGCGGCTGGTCTCGTTTTGCTTTCCTGGTACTTTGATGGCACATGTGATCGTAAGGCAGCTGCAGCGCCGATCAAAGTCGGACAAATTTTCTAACCAGAATGCATTGGTTTTGTCAGGCAGCAGCCGATCTTTGTGGCGCCGCATGAAGTCAAACAAACCTATTCATTCTTCACATCTTTATGAGTGAATCATTGAATAATTTACTAAACTGATTTGCTCAAAAACACATTCAGGAATGCGACTGCAGCACTATGGATAATTCATCTATAGCTTTGTTTGGAACTTTTGTTTTGAGGCATTTACGCAACAATTAGCATTATAAATCTTGCAAAGTGTTGTTATATTTTGCTTTTTAAAAATGTACTGTAATTTGTGTTATTTTATCCTGGTATTAAATTACAAAAACTAGTAAACACTACTGCAGGGATGTTTCAAATACAGCTGCTAAGAGATCCTCTCTTCTGACTACAGTAATCTTGTTCCAATTTTTTAATACTTTTTTTCTTCTTCCATTTGCAGAACAATAACACACAAAGTGACTTAAACAGCAACCCAAAACTTGCCTGTGGCAAGTGATATTGATATTATGGTCCTTCTTGCATATTTTGCAACACTTTTTAATTTGAAATGTCCAGTGAGTAGCACTAAAAGCATATTCAGATTAATGTGACAATGTTTTATTGTGCTGGTTTTGTACATATCACAGCAGTCTTGGCTCTTTTATGGTGACTCATGTTTCACTGGACTTATACTCAAGTGTTTGCCATCAAAAGCACAGCTTTACCAGGTGAACTACCAAGCAAGTTTACTAAGAAAAGCCAGACATATGGAGCTGATTATGTGATGTAAATATCAAAATGTATTAGTATACATTACAAAAAAGTTTGTCAGTGTTTTACTCACAGACACCACTGTTCATATCAACTGCACAGTGAACTGTACGTACATTTTGGAGTTTTGCAAAAATGTAGTTAGAGGCAGAGGTAATAGATGTAGGTTTCTCAATATTGACTTTTTGTTCAATGAGCTGTTGTATAAAAGCAATATCAACACTAATCACATACTTTCAGGGGCTCCTGCACCAGTCGAACAACTGCCATGAAGATGAATGGGAACACTAACAGATAGCTCTCTCCAGGTATTAGTCTTACATGAAACTGACTCGACATAAAATAACTTTGTTAATAATGTTTTGTTTTGAAAACATTTACATTTCAGTTATTCTGAACATTTAGAAGTGAAAATAAAACCCAGAAAGACCACACACATGTGACACTGGCCTTTTTTTTTTTTTACAGATGGCTGATTAATAGCCAGGCACAGCGGCCCAGTACCTGAACATTTGGAGTTGAAACTCACACCCTGCCACCCCATGACCGCATTACTCACCCACAGCCAAGCAAATAAATCAGAATAATGATAATAGTCAAATTTCAAATCAGCCAGAGGAAACGCTCCATGAAAGCACCAGCGATGACGAGCAGATTTGGCTGTGTTGTCAGCAGCGGGCGATTTTCACGATGAGTGCTTAAATAGGTGCGGTCCCACTCCTCCTCGCAGAGCTCAGCGCCTGGATTACTTCATAATCCACACTATATTATGGGGCTGGCACTAATTGAAAGATAAATGAGTTTATTTGGGTTAAATCCATCACCGTGACACAAACCCAAAGGAGAGTGAGGGGGGAGGAGAGATGAGAGCGCGAAGGAAAGTTGAAGACGTTTGTAATAGCCAGCTGGATCAGAAGAAACATCAGAGGCGAATTTATACGCGGGATAGCAGGTAATGTGTGAGAAGGAAGCCATTATATCCAAGGCTTATTTTCTTGCAGAAACTTTGAAGGTAATTTTTGCCTGAACATCATGGCCAACATGTTGCTTGTGTTTCTACTAGCTTATTTTTTTTTGCAGGGTGTGCAACAGCCAAAGAGGGTTAGTGGTGTCTGAGCGCAGACGTAATGGCTGGACGTGCCACAGTCAGACACGGTTCACATTTTCCACTTTGTACGCTGTCTCTTATTAACAAGTGAAATGTGTTGAGCTTGCCTTACCACCAGCATGTGTGTAAGCGTGTGACCAATCAAAACTCCTTCATGGAAATATGGGAATGTAAATAGGAACAAAACTCTGGGTTTATAGGCAGACAGGCAGATAAAGCAGCGCTGAAATCAGTCCCTAAATATAACGGCTGAACTTGTGAACTACAGAGTCCGGTACAAAGCTTGAACGTTTGCGGTGAAAGGATAACAGAAGTGGCATGGCTTTCTCACGCTTTTAAAGACACAGATGGAGTTTTTCAAAGTGGGCCACGTGACTCGTCCTACATCATAAATTCGCATGCACAGCATCTGTCTCTACTCCTGCCAAATGCTGAAACCACAGGTGCATTTTTCAGAGAAGAGTGAAATATTTCCACATCTAACAGTCCACATTTTTGGACACATCGAGCATAGACCTGATTTCAATAAATACAGCAATAAAATCAAAATACAATCCATGAAGTTGAATACATTATGTACAAACTATTTTCATAGTATAATTTAGATGCATTTATTTACACACTTATTTTTTTTATTATTATTTATTAACATTCCATTGTTGTGTCTTTAGCCCCCGGTGGATTACAAGGTCTTCAGGAAGTAGGACTCTATCATTTCCAAAAAGGCCGCCTTTATGTTGGCTGGGACATCTTTGCTGAATTAAAAGGTAGTAAAAGAACATGTATTAGAACTTTTTATTATTATTATTATTATTATTTCAAAATGGATATTTACCTAGAAGTTGATAAAAAAAATAGCAACAAAAAAAAATGGTATGGTAGTGTATATACATTTTTGACCCTTTTTATGGAAAAAGTTCAAAATTTATTTTAAAAAGTATAGGTACTTAGGTAATTAATAGTTAAAGGACACATTAAATTTATATAAAGTGGCAATAAAGACATGTATAATGGTACAAAAGATTACTATGTCAAATAAATGCTTTTCTTTTGATTTTGTATTCATAACATGTATGTTTTTTCTTACTTACAGATGCATGTTAAAATATTGGTATAATGCCTACTGAATGTCAGGGAGTCTCAGTCACTTCAGTCACTGCAGTCACCACAGTCACCAGCCCCAACGCAAACCAGATCTCAATCACCAGACTACTGACTAAGTCAGGCTCACACTACAGGATTGAAAGACTAGCCGAATCACTGTGTTGCTCACACTACGCAACTAGATTTGTTCTCATCTGTTGTTGTCTTGTCATAGCTGCGCACATACTACACAACGCTAACGAGCTTGCGCACAATACAAAACATTCAGTGAAGAGGCGTTCCCGACCATCAGCCAAAATACATTTTCTCACATAATTTCTCGCAAGTAATTACAGCGATTATAGGCCATATCTTCAAGCATGGAAGATCAACTGGCCCTTCAATTGGTCTGTACAGTTATTTTTTCCGAAAGAAAGAAGAAGCCACGACAAAAGAGAATATGGCAGAAACAATGGCTTGGAAGACGTGGACAACAAGGACTGTCAGTACTGCAGAAAGAGTTGGAGGTAATTAAACAGTATACTATATTAAATATTATAATATAAATATTATATATTATATACTATATATATTGTATACAATGAAATGTGGTATTATATACACAATCTATGCATTTGTTAAATTTATTTCTAGTTAGTTGATTTGATTAATTTGTGGCTTTTTGTGTCTGTTCATAAAGATGCATGATAAAAGTGTTTATACCAGCTGCACTGTGATTGGCTAGATTAGTTCCACCTTGTCATTGTGTCGCTCACATTACGAGATCACGTGGCGATAATATCAAACAGGTTTGAAAATTGTCCTCTTTTGGAAGGCCAAACAAAGTACTTTCGCTTTCACAACGAAACGCAGTGTCTCCACGGCATGGCGGCAACAATACTACAGCGAGAATAAAAGTTACTCCTTCTTTCTTTGTGTGAACATTTGGGCGGTGTTATGCAAATCTTCGCACATCGTGACGTAGACATGTGGGGGCGTGTTAGAACAAGCCATTTTAGGTAGGCGTGGTTGAACTTTTTAAAAGAATATCTCTTTGGATTTGAGACTTTAGTCTTTGCAACTTTACAGATCTTCTTTATGCACCAAGAGCTTGTAACACTCCAAAGAGAAAGAAAAAATTTAAATCGTATCATATGACCCCTTTAACGAGGTTCGGCAACCGCAATGAGCAACGATTTGGTCACGATCCGGGGGTTTTGTCGCAGACTGTGGAAATCTGTACGCAACAGCAAAATCCAGCCGAAAATCCTGTAGTGTGAGCCTGGCTTTACCAGCACCTGTCACGGCTCGTTAAGCTCTCTTTATCACTGCACTCTCTCCACTGCCTCTTCGTCTGGTCTACAATTTGCTTTGCCTAAAGCCGGGATCCGAACCTGTCTCGAGCTATCGCAGACGCTACGATATTTTCAACTTGTTTGATATTATCGCCACGTGATCTCGTAATGTGAGCGACATAATGACAAGGTGGAACTAATCCAGCCAATCACAGTGCAGATGGTATAAACTCTTACCATGCATCTTTATGAACAGAAACGAAAAGCCACAAATGAATCAAATCAGCTAACTAGAAATAAATTTATCAAATGCATAGATTTGTGTATATAATTGCACAAACCAATTGAAGGGCCAGTTGATCGTCCATGCTTGGAGATATGCCCTATAATTAGTGATGGGTCGTTCTTGAACAATTCGTTCATTTTGCTTAACCTATGCAGTCTGAGCCGGAAAGAGACTTAATAATAATAACCAACTCTTTATTACCTTTGTTACAACATTCAGTGATATGGAAAAGAACCATCATGACAGAAATTCACACATTTATAAACTGTAAGAAGTAAAAAGCTACAATTTGAGACCATAAACGCATCACGTAACTGTAAGAGTAAATAATAATTATAATAATGATAATACTACTACTACTAATAATAATAACTATGCACTTGTTTGTAAGGAAGCTTGTAAATTAACTAATTTCTCTATCCAATGCTGTCACGTCACGTGACAAAAGAACGAACGATTTGAAAGACTCGAGAGATGAACTAATCAATTCTCTTTCCGGCTCAAGATTCGTTCATTTTGCTGAACGAGACTCAAAGGTCCGAGTCGGTAAAATGATCCGAACTTCCCATCACTACCTATAATCGCTTTCACGCGAGAATTTATGTGAGAAAACGTATTTACGCTGATGGTCGGGAACGCCTCTTCACTGAATGTTTTGTAGTGTGCGCACCTCGTTAGCGTTGTGTTGTGTAGTATGTGCGCAGCTATGACAAGACGACGACAGATGAGAACAAATTTTGTTGTGTATAGTGTGAGCAACACAGTGATTCGGCTAGTCTTTCAATCCTGTAGTGTGAGCCCGGCTTAACTCAGCCTGACTACATACCTTGTTACTTACCTGTGTTTGCTTACCCTTAGATGCTCCTTCACTCCAGTTCTCCACCGCTCCTTCGCTCCTCCGGATCACCTGCAAGAGACAATTCCCTGTTACCTACACCAGAGCGCGTACACACCTCATGCACCGTATTCCGTGCGCGCGCTCAAAGCAGTTGGACATAGTGGTGTATTAGAGGTAAAATATGATATAAATACTGTTCGGTTTCTCGCACAAACTGATCGTTTCGTGTCTTAGGACATCAATGTGTCGTCATGAGCCACAGGGTTTAATTTGGATTTGTCTGTGCATGTTTTTTTTACTCTCATAGATTTTGTTACCATTGCCATGCATTATACGACTGATAGACTGCAACGGCTGGAGTTAAAAATCTTCTTTTGTGTTCTACTGAAGAAACAAAGTCACCTACATCTTGGATGCCCCGGGGGTAAGCAGATAAACATCAAATTTTTATTTTTGGGTGAACTATTCCTTTAAGGCAACCCCTTCAACCTGCCCACGGCCTCTTAGCAAAAGGAGATAAAAAAAGTGATTTGATTCTTCTCCTCCCCCAGCAACTTCTCTACGTTAATTGCAATCAAGGTTTCAAAGTACAACCCGGCTTGCACTGTTGTATTTATGTGCGCAGAACCAGAGGGACTTGTGAAAGAATGAACTTCACAATTGTATCCGATGTCTAAGTGATTTTGAAAAGGCTGCCGGTCTGCAATTTTTCTCAATTAGATGGCTAAGACACCTCTCTCTGCTAGACCAGAGACCTTCCATGAGCTGACAATCAACAGGAAACATTTTCATTCTTTTTGTCTTGTTTTCCACTTCTGACATCTTTCAGTTTAACACAGCTTTGGCATACGAAACAATAGCACTGTCAAAGACATAAAGAGAGTTTGTTTATTGTTTAGTGTGTTTAGAAAGAACGCCTGAGGCTTTTTCATCAGAGCTTTCGCCCACTTTTAGACTGACAATAAACACAAACAACAGTATGTTATCTTCTTCACGAAGTCCTTGAGATGGAGTGC